TCATTCGTTAACCCCACCTGGGCACTTTAAACTCTCTTTCACTTGGGTTCATGCCCGGTATCATGAACTATAACTAAAATTGTCACGGCACTGGTACGTGACCTATGGACTGGGTCCGGGCGCGCGGGCTATATAGCCTATAGGGCTCTGGGAGTTAGTTCCATTTCTCTTCTTCATACCTTCCGCCAGCTTTATATTTGAACAAGTCTCTACATCATCGTCGGTTCCCAGTCCCCAACCAAACACTTTTCTGATACTTCACAAACAGTCTCATCAAAAAGATCTATCACAATTGCCTCCGTTGTATCCCGGTTCACAAACCTAGTACCTGATATCCTTTCCACAGCGTCTAAAAAGCTTCGCAATGTCGACCATCCAATAAATTTCCCTCGAGGCAGGCCTGCCAGCAGAGATACACGATATGATCCTCCACCAAATTCTCATCCCAGATCTCATGACTTTACGCCACGCATCGCCAACATTCTACCGCAAATACAGAGGTGCAACCCTGGACAGCCACCTTTGCCAGTGCCTGTTTGGCAACTTTGAACTGAGCGCGACAGCCTACATACTCAAGTTCAACATCTGGCTTCCCAACCCCAGTAAGGACCCTCTGGTCGCGGCCAAGCGCGCGGAACGCAACAAGGAACGGAAAGGCGACCTCAAGACTCCGGACCTGGTTTCCATGTGCTTACATATGGACCGGGTCGACGCGGTTATTGACGATGTCTGTTCCAAGGCTCTGTACAACGGGCAGCTTGCTGATGAGATCTGGGGAAGTCTCCCCGCCTGGACCAACAGCAGCATTCTGAAGCATTGCCATTCCACCCCAACTTCCCAAATCAAGACGGTTGGGTTGGGGTATTGGCGGACTGAACGACTGAATCTATCTTTTAGCGAGCGAGCGAGATGGAGACGGGCTTTTCTTTGAACTTCGGTTATCAGCACCCTTGGCCGATATCTCACCGCTTGCAAAGAGACAAACTCAATGAAAAAGAGCTTACCGCGACCTGCTTTACAGCATCAACGAGACAGATCAGGAGGCAGTTTCCAGCGTTTACAGTTACATCTTAGGCATGTGGGAGAGCATTCTCCGACAATGTTCCAACCACATGGTCGGCTTCTCAGCGTCGGAGTCGCTCCCAGGGAGGAGCACATGTCGTTATTGTGAAGACATGACTCGAAATAGAGCCCGGGAAGAAGCCCAGTATTTCTGTACCCTCGGTCCGGAGGCATTGTTCGCCGCGTTGAAACATGCCTCTGGGCCTGAGTCAGAAACAGCGCGCTGTCTTCGAAGCCTATGTTGATGGCCTGGAGAATGAAGAGCTTTGGGTGTCATCCGGGCTCACTCAAACGAGCGTCCACTCACTTGGGCACGGGATGGCCTTTCTTACCGGTGGAGAGGTCATCTGGTCAAAGGTCCTTGACCTGACCACATTTTTGCCTAGTAAAACAAGAAGAGGAGGTCTGGTATCATATCTTGCAGACTTCTCTGTGGCCTGCTTGGGGACCTCGCGTCTACAAAGCAGCCGCAAGACTCCAAGCTGGCAAGGTTGTACAGAAGATGATGGGAGTTTTGGGATGACTCGCGCGTTCACAGAATGGGTTGAGATAACATTGGGGTGCTAGGCTGGATGGCCCTCGGTGAAAAGCCATAGTAGGGCGGCTAGGAGGACTGGGAAGCGCTGGTGGAAGAGGGGAGGTATTTTCTTGAAGGTATTGACAGGGTAGTCACCAATGTCTCAGATGTCGAAGATCCCAGAGCGTGGGATGAAGAGAATGATGGGGGCGGAGCGAGGATGGGTCAGACATGGAGGGCTAGCACAACCCTTGGTGTCCTTGAACAATGTCAAAATAGCTCGTTAGATGTAATTATTTTCTATATTTGTGATGGAAAGGGCGGGAATTGGAGGCAATCCATCATGAAACAAAGGCTCATGCAGCGTCATCGACACCAAGATAGGTTGGAACAATCTGAAGGTACCTGATTGGGCTGGATTGTGATGGGTGAGAAAGCCGTTTGGGTTGGCGATGGAGAGGTCCTGGCGTCAGCGGTATACCTAACCTTATCAAGTTGCCCGACCTCGTATCAAGGCGAGGCGTTCAGCCATGTCGGTGCGCCAAACCTTAGAACAGAGATTGACTTTTGGTGGCCAAAAGCTCAATACTGCCCTTCCACCCTTCATCTGCTGATTCTTGTCTTGATCGCATGCTTTTAGCACCCATCATTGCCCGTTGGGATCATGGTCAGGGATATTCTGGACAGGCTGCCTCTCGAGCTTCAGGATTTAATCCTCTCAACCCCCCCTTCAAAGATGTCATCAATCTGCGAGCAGCCTCCCCAACACTGCTGCGGGCATACAATGGGGAGAACCTTGTCGAATACGTCAAACGCCGTTTACCCTCCGACTTGACGCTTCTCACCATGCCACACAAACTCCGAGCCTGAGAAACTGAGAGCATCTCGAAGCTTCAATAGATGGCCTGCGCAAAGGACAAGACGTTGACCACGGAAGATCTGATGTCCATGTGCCACCATTTGGACAAAATCGACGATCTGATTATCGGTGTCTACAAGAAGGCCTTGTACCCGGGACAACGCGTTCGACATGCATACAGAAACCTTCCTTCGAGGGCTCACCCCACTTTACGCGAGGGCTTAGGGCTCTTCGAGATCTACAAACCGCAACATGAGAAGCGGATCTACTGGTCTGTTTATACTTTGTCGTAGCAGGAGCTCTCGCGGCTCAGGCATGCGTTTCCTGTGGTCTCCATTGCTTGCTGCCTCAACTGCCGAATGCGACGACATTTCCCCGAGATGATGTGGCGGTCGGACTTTCTTGAGGGTGCGAAAGACACCTCGCGTGGAGGCTTCTTGCCTGTTCTACCGCTCGACCAGCAGCAATCTGTCTGTGCTATTCACGACTACATGTATATGACGTGGGATGCCATTTTGAGACTTAGCATACGTGCAATGCACATCAAACACCCATCCCTCCCACGACGCCGCCGCGAAAAGAAGCATGTTTGTACTTTTTGCTCTCCTCGCGAACCCTATCCTACTGAGGGACCACTCAGATACGTTCAGTGTAGTCGGTGCTGTGACCACTCTTTTCGTCTTGAGTATAGAGAGACCTTTGTGTGGCCTTGGTCCCGAGGGCCTCTGGCGAGGGTTGCAGATCTCCGCTCACGATTCTCCTACTGAACAGGACCACCACGACTACTATAGGGACACCTATTGGGACATTGAAAGCTTCTCGTATCATTCATCTCAGTCCGCTCTCGGCCATGAGGATATGAGACAGTTCATCTGGCTTAGACCACTGGGATCTGCCCATGCTCACAGTGTACAACAAAAGAAGAAGCCGAGGCCGGCAACTTGTCGTGGAGGATTGTTGCAGAAGAAAGTCAGAGGTCAATGTCGAGTTGCTTTTCATATTCAGATGCCCGTCCTTACCCATCAAGCACGTGAATACCGACATGGGATGAGGTTTGGGGGTGCTCTATGTGGGGTTGAGGTGATGAATGGTATCGAGTAGAGTTTGGGAATTTGTCATCAAGAGGATGGACGCTCTGGGATGACGAGCGTATCAAAAGGATCGGATGGGATAAGGTGGATGTTTTGGGTTGGATTGCTCAGGGAGAGGTGGCATATTTTACCGAGAGTGGGAGACTGGAGAGTATGCGAGAAGGGAGGTGTTTCATTGAGAGGGTGCGATGCACTCCCCTTCCACTGAGCTAAATTCTGGAGTGCGCAGTGGAAAATGATGATTAGATGGAGACGGGTGTCATTTCCTCGAATCAGAGTGTTCACAAAGAACGTGATGGCCGCTGATAGTTGTTAGAGGGATGCTACAGTAATGAGAGAGAAGCTGTTGACGGTCTCAACTGTAAGAGTTTACCCCCTTTTGTCAGAGTCCTCAGCAAAATATTGCCCACCACAAAGCACCATTTACCACCATCGGTGGCCTTCAATAACACTGATGTATATGAAGCGGAGCAGGAGCACCACTGTCAACACGAGCAACTGTGTTAGTAGGTGTTAATCACCTGGCTCAGCATCGTCTGATTTCCAGGTAGGTTGCCAAATACTTGCGGCCGAAGAATTTGAGGCTTTTACACAGGTTCAATTTTCGGATGGTATAGATTCTCAATGGCATTCACCCATGTGTTGAATCTTCCTGTGGGTCTGTGGCGTGGTTGGCGCCCCTGATATCATTAAGGTTCTGAAAAGGTTCAAAAGCCTGTAGGACGCTGTGTGGCATCCCAAGGTTTGATAGATCGGGCAATACGAGGAGTTTGAGGTCGTGGCTTTCCAGGTGACCTTTCCTGAGACTTTTCCTGAGGCTTTCCAGAGGCCAGTGTCTGGCAAGGTGTCCTTTCCAACATGTATTTAGGGGAGTCCCCTCACACTCAACCGACCTGTTTTCTTTTTCCTCCCGTTCAGTCAATTCAATCCTTTATTACAGCTTGAGTTCCCACACAGAACCAACTCTCGTACCAGCACAAACCATTATACTGGTGGGTTCAATCCCATGACCCAGACAACCAGCAGCAAAGCTTTGATTTGACAAAGTCTTCACAGAATGGAGGTCACACGCCGAGGCAGTCACACAATCCATACCACGTGAATCTGCGCCGCCCAAACAACCAGAACCGATCTTCCTTCACCAGCACATCAGCACAACAGAGTCAAACGTGTTCATCATGGCTGCTATATTTCAAGGCTATTCTCCAAGTTTTCTTGGCCAGCTCCCCTTGGAGATCATCGACCAAATCCTTCTGAGCATGCCAGTCAGGGACGGCTGGACAGTTAAAAGCAGCATCCCGGCAATCTTCAGAATCTACACCGGCACTGAATGAGAGAAGCATTTACACCGTCGCCTCTACGGCGCGTTGCCCAACATTAAAGCTGCTTACCGAGTTCGATCGAGGACCTCAAGCTTGAGTCTCTGCAGCTCAGACTTGCACAAGAACCAACAGCTTCCAATCTCCACCACATGACCGAGCGTTTGGATGTCATCGTCGATTGCTCGTTCGGCTGCGAGGCAGAACCGCTCGGTCGCGGGCCTGAGACGCTTGCTCGCCTGGCCCAGGAGTTGCTTCCAACGCCCTCTGAAACCTTCCTCGAAGCGCTGTCGAGCGTCTACACGTATATGTACTTGTACTGGAAACGGATAATGCTCGCCACGAGAATGGAGTTCAGCTCCGGGCATCATACGTGCGCGGAGAGGCAGGATAGGCCATGCTTTCCTTGCATCGGACACAAGCAGATGATCGATTGGTGTTCTCAACGGCTGGCTAGTCAGGGGCCAAAGGCTCTGTCGTTGGCAGTCAAAATGCCAGTCAGTTGGGACGTTGGAGCGACTGAACGTGTTATGCCCAAGGGTCTCCGGAATAAGGGGTTATTGACATTGTTGTATAAAGGTTGGGATCTGTACCCTCATTACATTTGGCCACAGATATATACGGTGCTAACTGAACCGACTTGTAACATGATCAACATCTGGCACAAAGCACCAAGCACCATCGAACAGGGCATTACCTTACGTGTGTGGGGGTCTTGCAATTCGGTTTGGAAGATGCTAGCGGATAGGATGACGCGTGAGAAGCGGGAAATCCATCATGGGGATTGCAACCATTGGTCCCACGAACGCTGGGAGTTTACTGGTCCGGCTCTCAGGGGTTGGGTCTTCTGGGACGAGGAGAGGGTCCAATCCTTGGGATGGACCGACGCGGAAACGGTGGGCTGGATTGCCCAGGTCCAGCCTGGGTGGCGGGATGGGGATGAGAAGGGCAAGAGGCTGGCTTTGAAGAAGTGCGCCGAGCTTATAACACGAGCCAGCCGCAACGACGAAGGTGATGTTAACGAGGTAATGACGGATAGGGGGACGCTGAAGGAGGTCAAGAAGGAGGCGAGGGCGAAGAAGAAATAGATCGTTTCTGTGATGAAGAAGGGGTTCTAGGATGGTGAAAAAGTGAGGAGCAAAGTGAGGATGATGATGATGATGAGCCCTTCGTGAGGGTCATCGTCTAGTAAGTTGCAATGGTAGCGGCAGACGACTGCTGGTTAAGCTCTTCTTCTGGGGAACGAGGAGGGCACTCAGTTACCCGTCCAAGCCTGTCAGGACATGAAGCGCTTGCTATTCAGCCAGTTCTTGAAACGTCTGTATCTCAGATGCCACTTCTGCCGTACCAAAAGGACATCCTTGGCCATGGGGCCAAAGCGAGGGGTATATCTTCACAATTTCCTTGACGCAAAGCTTCAAACAGCGGCCAACAATCTTGCTACCTATACAAGGTAGTCGTTAATTACCTCGTCGAATCTACCTTTATTCTTAATCACGGTCTTTGTAACTGCGTAGATGCCGCATCATGCCGTTCATTAACATCTGATAAAGACCAGAATGAAGCACACGTAGTGTTATTGTCCTTGCCAGTGTGACGGCTTTCACCACTCCCGTCATGCTTTGCGATGCTAGATTTGAAGTTGGCCTGGAGGGGTTCCGGCCAGTAGTACGATCAACATGGTTTCCATCCAAGATACAGATACCAACACGGTTCCCAACGCTAGCTTTCTCTTTGTTGCATAGTATCTGGCGCAATGTGGTGTGGGTTGCTCCGTGGGTCTTACTGGCAGGGAGCAGGTTGCTCCCAGGGTTCTGCCCTGGCCCACTTCCGCAGCGAGGATATATTAGATTAGCCGGTTGGCTTGCTCCGTTCAGATACTCCCAAATACATCATCAGTTTGTACTCACTTCTTCCGTTCTGGTCGTACCACACGCAGGCTACCTTGTCAAAGATCGACATGTCCGAGACCAAGCATCCTCAACACACCAGAGGATGACGTCCGAGAATTTCCATACCGACGCCTCAATGACATGTGGGCACGGATAGGCAGGAGCTACTCGTTGGTATGTGGGGATGTGGGTGTCCCTGATTTGACTTTGTGGCGTCATTAAGGTTTTCAAGAGGCTGGGCTGTCAGAAAGTATCTTTCTTTTCCATCTTTTTAAAATGGGAACCTTCACCCCAGCTGTCCTTCTTTCCTCATGACAAAGCTTGAAAGCATCCGAGTCATGAGATCTGCCATTCAGTCCAAATCCTACTGAAAAAGATCACACGGCGAGCACTGAACGCCAACTGTCAACCGTTGGCATCACGTCGAACCAAATCAAGCACGGTAGCCCAGGGCAGTTTCACGCTCGACATTTGCAACCATGCGGCCTCTTCCGGAGCAAGATCGACTGTACAGGCCAGCTTTCCTCTCCTGGACCTTCCGCTCGAGATATTAGACCTCACTCTGATTCACATGCCAATTAAGGATGTGGTCACCCTGAAGAGACTGTCACCAGAAATTCTCCGGATCTACAGCGGGCCGGATTGGGAGCAACACCTGTATCGACGCCTCGGAGGCATCGACCCGTTCCTCAGCATCGCGTGCTCTTTCGACCGGTTCGAGGCCTACACAGATCTCAGCTTGGAAACATTTATTTACCGTATGCCTCCCACTTTTCGAGAGCTTGAAGGAATGTGTGAGAAGCTCGAGATAATCGACGACATCATCTCCGACTTCGCTAGCATCGCGCTCAAACCCACGAAGGGGGTCAGCTATCGGTCCTGGCCTATTTGGACATCTGAAGAAATCCTGCGCGATCAAACGCCATCTTCCACACGCCGAGAGAATATTAAAATCCATTGATCACTATCACCTGCGAGGGTCACTTGCGAAGATTTTTCAACAGATCATCCCAAGTGGACTGCCACTCATCTTTATCGAGCCAGTCTCATGCGCTTATACGTATCTCGAGGGCGGAGTCATCGGGCTGCAACTCATGGTCCGTAGACGCTATTCACACAACTAAACGGCGTGGGAAGGGTTAACACTAAGCATTCGAAGCAAGGGTCAACGTGGGCAAATTTATTGGAGTTCTTGTATGGCGTGGAGGCGGGTGGCTGGGACCAACTTCTGCATGGTGGAGGGGGAATGGATACCAGCCATTACTATCTCTGACCGAAGATTGTGAAGCATCTCCGGCGATCTACAAACACCTTCAAGGAGCTGGATGTTGAAGTGGCTCGTGTTTGGGGGTTTGGGGCACACCCAACACGATTTGGACCATGGTGGGGGATCATCACCGCGCTGAGACTGTCCAAGACGATGGAGAGGATGAAGACTATGAACATATATTCTGCCTGCTGCCCTGACTGACAAGACATCAATTGACCACACGGAACAGGTACCGAGCCCCATCTTTAGCGATAGCATGTGGGTGAGTGTCTGCAAGGAACTCGAAAACCTCGTGATGATCAAGTATATAAAAATAGAAAGATTCCAGCCAGGCAGAGGGGAATGAATTGTCTGTGCTTACCCGTTCCATGTGGTGGACTCGTCAAAATAACCATAAAGCAAGGACATGCCGGCATAAAAGAGTTGAACTTGTTGTACTTGAAGACTACCCCTCGTCTGCGGGTGAAATCTGGATAAATTAACAGCACTATATGCCGAGTGTTACCACAGGGCGATTGGACCGTCGGGACGGGAGACCACAGTCGTTGCATCCATCCGGGACGCTGTCTGATTCGGCGATAGCATGCACACGGCGTGCAGAGCTTCCCGACAAATCGAGACACGGAACGTGAAGAAGAGTAAAAATAACAAAAAGAAGGCGAAAAGAATTCTTGGGGCAGGTGAGGCAGTGAGACATGCCTGGCGGGGGCATGGAACCCCACCTTCCATTGCCTGCCATGCTCCGACTTCTATCAGGAGTGTAACCATCCCAACTTGTCAGTTACCAAACTGCCTATTCGGAGATCCGACCCCTTCCGCCTTGCTCTTTCGAGTCTTTTTGCCCCTTGGCAGCGGACCCGTCCATTCCCAGCGCCCAGGTTGCAAATCATTTCCCCCGCCGGACCTCGCACCTGCTGTTGCATTCCATTGCAGTGACCGTCGTGCCGGCCTGAAACGTGCATATCCCGGGAGTTGGGGACTCGTCATGGTCTAAATAAGTATCATAAATCCGGTCCTGTCCTTCCTCGCCTGGTTCTCGGTGTCGGCGATCCATGGATGTCACGCCTAGAACATGTCACCGACCGCTACCACGAGCGAATCTAGAATACGACGTCTAGACTCCCACTTGCTCTCTGAAGCATCCTTGCTCCCATCGGCTCCACCCTGTCCATCCGGTGATACAGCAGTATAAGAATCACGTTGCCGTGACCGACCAGGTTCTCTCCCGCTCACCACTCCGCTGGATCTACACCATCTTGCCGATCGCTTTTATTTTTTTATTTATTTTTTTTTAAAAAAAACTCCCCTGAAAAGATCGTCGCTTGACACAAGACACTCCATCAAACTCTGTCACCCCTCACTTCTAACGTCTATTAGCCATCATGAAGGTATGTGCAACCTTCCCTCTTGGACCTCGCACCGTGACATCTAACTAACCTTGGCCCGTGTAGCAACCAACCACGCACTTGCTCACCCTCTTCCTTCTGCCCTTCGCCCTCGCCCTTCCCACACCAGAAGACTCAGTCAATCAAGTGGAGCAAGGGACCAACACGCCGGCGACAGTGGGCAACGTCAACGCCGGTATCCCCCGATGCAAGACACAGGGCCTCAGCGACTTTTGCCTGTCAAACAGCAATAAGCCATACTGCGACGCCACCGGGTTTCACAACAACATGATGGCCCAGTGCGAGAAGAACTGCTGGTGCGAATAGATTGTGCCCAGACCCAACATCGGGGATGAAGAAGGAGGACCAAGAGCCAGATAATGGACGACTAGATAGGGGACGGGCATTGGAGGAGGAATAATACCCACCAACACAAATTCTATCGAGGCTGGAAGCTCTCCTTTTATCCTGCCAGCAATACCCAGCCACACGTAGTATGAGGATGGGACAAGTTGGAGAGAGAATATGACAGGAAAAGGTGTTGAAAAAAGAGATGGGGTCATCGAAGCATTGATTTCTTTTTTCTGTGTATTTCTGATTCTTGATATGGAAGTTATTTCTGCACCAAATCAAGGACAGCATGTTGCTGCCCGTGGAGAAAGGTCCCACAGGGTCAACATCTACCACCGGCGTTGACTAAGCATTCTACGACATTGTCGTTTGTGACGCCCTTCGGACACAGCTCGGCATTCACGGGACTGCTTTTCTGTCTTTAGACGTCCTCTAATATGAGTACAGGAACAAGAGGATAAATGTTTCCGGGCGGCTGCGACTGTAAATGTGGATTATGCAGGCATCATGCCATGATGGGTGTTAGTAAGTGCATGTGTTGACGTCGTGATGACAAAGCTCGACTCATCGTCTCCACGATCAGTAACTGGGATATAAAATCCCATAATCAACCTCACCTCACCAGGAGTAAAACATTGTTTTCACACCAACAACACTGAGAACGATACTCAGTTCACGATGACGACCCCTACCCTCTCCCGCGACGACCTCATATCCCTCCACGGTTTCACTCCCCTCCCCGTGGACCAGGACGCCATCTTCCAGGGAAAACCATTCCTCCACCAACCCACCCCGGTCCCTCTCTCGTCCATCCCCTATCCAAGCTCTACCGACCCCTTGGTCGCCAAGGTGCAGGAGTACGCGAAGGAAAAGCTCCCAATCCAAACCTACAACCACTCCATGCGGGTTTTCTACTGGTGTACGCCCCTTCACCCCTTTCCCCTCCACCACACCCCTGACCTGTCTCCTCCACGACATCGGCACCACCCCCTCCAACCAATCCTCCACCCTCCTCTCATTCGAGTTCCAAGGCGGGGTGATAGCCCTCGACCTCCTAAAAGAACTCAACGGCAACAAGTCGCAAGCAGAAGCCGTAGCAGAAGCCATAATCCGACACCAAGACCTCGGCACAGTAGGCACCATCACAGTCTTGGGACAAATCCTCCAACTAGCCACAGTTTACGATAACATGTCCCTTCGCCCGTATCTCATCCACCTAGACACCAAGGTCGAGGTGAACAAGGCTTACCCTAGAAAGGGCTGGAGCGGGTGTTTCTCTGCTGCTATCGCCAATGAGAAGAAACTAAAACCCTGGGGGCATACCAGCCATTTGGGGTGGGAGGTTTTTGAGAATGGGGTTCGGGAGAATGAGTTTATGAGGGAAGTTGATTCTTGGGAGTGAGCGGGGTGCAGGTAATGGATATGGTAGGTAGCTTTAATGGTCAAAGGGCTAGGTTGAAAGATGTAAACTAGGGTGGATTAAGCCAGCTTGTTATCTGAATAAGAAGAGGACCAGTAGCTCAGGGGTAGAGCAACCGGCTGCAGTCCGGTAGGTCACGCGTTCAAATCGCGTCTAGTCCTTGACTTTTTTTTATTCCCATCACTGTGATTGAAAGGCTTGAATGGGCTGGGGAAAACACTCCTCAGCAATCATTACGAGTCTGCCTGTACCTATCCCTAAATAGTATTTCTCACGAGGTCGCTGCTGGGTGGCCTTCGGCTAATAAACGTGACTCTCACACACACGCCGAATAATGAGATAGAATCTTGTCAGAATACTCTTCAACGACAATAAAGGATAGATACAGTGCAGTAGATCAAGTGGGCTTCTGATTTGCAGTACCCGTCATTCCCTCCATGCCCGGCAGCCGCTCCTCGACCAATTTCGCTGCAATTAAAGCATTTCCAGGTTGACAACGCTTCGAACACTAGTCAATGATCTGAAAGAACAACGCCAAAAAATGACAGTGCTACCATTCGGACAATTGACCAGCCCCATAACCGTTGCGAACCCTAGCAATGCTTCGATTCCAACACAATTGCTCGAGAAACAATTCCACCTTGCCGATAACAGGCAAATGCATACAAGATAACGATGATAACGAGAAAAAGAGGGGTAGACAGTAGATACTAGTCCCATATCCAGCTGACGAACCTTGTCCAGCCTCTAGTCTTCTTTGTTGGCTGGAAACCTTGGGTTTGTACCGAGAGGTTCTCCTCGGCCTGTTCAAACGCTTCTTCAAGGGGTATTTGATCGAGAGGAGTGATCGAGGTCTTGAGGAAGAACTTCCAGCCCAGGTAAGCAGCTAGGACAATGGGAATGTCACTGTAGGTCACGTTAGTATCAAGACAACAGGTTTGCACAAAACAATCAAATGACTGACAGGTACGACGACACAAACTTGGCGGCGTCCCAACGGCCCGTGGTGAAGACACTGAAGCCGCTCGTGAACAAAATGACGAGGCACATGACAAGCCCGACTGGGGATGTGTACTCTGCTGATTGTCAACTTCAGCTTCCCTCACATCCAAGAATGAAGACCTACCCGTCCACCAATTGTGCCACGGCAGTCTGTCGGTCGAAATGCCTTGCTTCTTCATAGCCTTGAGAAGCCGGATGTGGTTCAGCAGAATGGAACTCCAAGAGACCAACACCCCGGCTGCCGTCAGCATGACCAGCCACCAGAACACGCTAATGGCGTTCTCGGACAGGCTCAAGAAGCTCAAAAACATGAAGACCGTGAACAACAAGACACACATATATGGTGTGCCCCAGGACGTGGTCCTCAAAAAGATCTTCGGTGCTTGTCCCTTCAGTGCCAATCCATACAACACCCTCGTGCCCGCCAGCAAACTCTGATTCGCCGCTGACCAGGCCGACGTGATCACAATGGCATTCACCAAGCTCGGGATCCCCTTGATCCCAGCTGCTGCGGCTGCAAGCACAAACGGACTCTGTGCCACGGTATCACCACTCCCCTTCAGCCTCTCATCATTGCTAGGCACCAACAAGCCCACCACAAACACCGCCAGACCATAGAAGATGACAATCCTCGCAAAGACCCTCTTCACAGCCCTGGGAATAGCCTCTCTCGGGTTTCTCGTCTCAGCGGCAGCCATAGCCAAAGACTCCACCCCCGCAAAACTGAACACCGCCCCGGTCATCACTGCCCAGAAGCCGAGAAACCTCCCCCAGTCTCCATTGAGCAATATACTCCACAAACGGACCCGGATCTCGCCAATATCTGAACCCAATCACCCCAGTCCCAGGCACTCCCCCCAAATTGATCACCAAACCCAACACAATTAAAAAGACAACCAGCAAGATCTTCAACAAGGCAAACACAAACTCCACCTCACCAAACACCCTCACAAAAGCCATCCCTATCCCACCCGTGAGTGCAATAAACGGCAAGATCACCGCCGCCGGGTTCAGCCCATCCCCCGTCCAAAACTTGACCAGCACACAAACCGCCACAATCTCAGAAGGTATACTCAACAGATTGCCGTAAACCAAGTTCCACCCGATAGCAAACCCCATGGCTGGATCAACCAGCACCTCGGCGTGTCTGACGAATGATCCGGTGACAGGCATCAAAGCCGTCACCTCTCCCAGGGCAAACTGCACGGAGCAAACGACTAGTCCGATGACTGCATAGCCTAGCAGTGCACCGAGAGGACCACCCGTAGAAACTGCCCCGCCAAGGCCGAGGAAGAGACCGGTGCCGATGGACCCTGCTATTCCCAGCATGGAGAGATGGCGTTGGGAGAGGCCCTTTTGGAGGGATCTGGACTCAATCTGGTGCTCTTGGCTGAGGCTCTGGGGGTTGGATAAGAGGGGATTATTGGATTTGGGGGATAGGAGAGGGGACTCGACGTCGGTGTTATTGATGATGCTGACGCGGGCGATGTTCTGTTTGGGAGAGCGTGATGGTAGGGGGGTGGATGAGCCAGAGGAGGACGAGGAGGAGGTGCCGTACCCCGCCGGCTTGAGGTTGGGTGTTGAGGCGGTCATGTTGGCCAGTGGTTCGCCGTGTTGAAGATGGATCTTTTGCTGAGATGGCTGGAGACTGAGATTGAGGCCCTGCCTGATGATGCGGAGTGATCAAAGCGCGAGCAGTCGCAGGAGACCTTGTCGCTGACTGATCCCCGAACCGCCCGACAGAAGACCGCGTCTTCACCTCGGTCGATGACAACGACTGTATATGATGGTATCTGATCTGGCAGAATTCTGCCCGCTCTTAAGAGCAGAAGACATTGCGCCGCTGGCTTTGCGAATTCTCAATGTTAACAGAAGATTGAAGGAGGGAAGTGAGACGGCGGTGGACGGTCCAGCGCCCCGCACGCGACTTGATGTTGCGATTGCGCCAGGGTCAGGACCCACTTTGGCGGTCAAGAACACTGTCACCGCACCTGCAGGAAGTTGGCTGGTTCATCTGAGCCGCAGCAACTTCATCTGAGCTGACAAAAAGAAAATGAAGGACTTCAGAAAACTGAAGGGCACACCTCAAAAAATGGTCAAAAACGCAAAAGATAATTGAGACTCGGATACCGGGAGTCGAACCCGGGGCTGTTGAGAGAACAGACACTTCTGAGAAGTGAGAGTCAACGATGTTACCGCTACACCATACCCGATTGAAATCGTGTGTGGTCTCCGATTTGATGCAAGCTTGATGTGGATTGAGCCACTATGATCAGCCTCCATCAACCACACGGAACACCATATCCCCCCTGTCCTTTACCTCCCAATAATCCTCAACTCCAACCACCTCAACGGAGGAAAGCTCACCAAAGCAAACCCACACCCAACCCAAACACCAACATCACAACCCCCCGCGCTCGCTCCTGCCAGCACCGCCAATGGCCCGGTATACCAAATCTGATACATCCCCAACACGGCCCCGACCCAGCCCAACAAGAAAGCAACCAGCGCAGCCCACCCAACCGGCAAATAACTCTTATCCTCCCACCTCGCCCAGTCAAACCCTCTAGTCCTCCTAAACAGTACATGCTCTAACACAAAGATCAAAATCATAAACTCTACCCAGTACCCCATCAGCGCGAGGAAGTTCTGGAACAGCACAAACAAATGCTCCCTCCCTGCCAAAGCCAGCACAGTCTGCAGGACGACCACCGTACAAGTCCACACCCACCTCGGCACAACCTTGAAGTGCCTCCCCAGAACCTGAAAGCCCAACGCCGCTGAATAACACCCGGGGATACTATTCGCGATGATTCCCAACGCCACAATAACAGAGCAGAACAATCCGAACCCCTTCAATGGTTCAAACCCAGCCACAATCAATGCCCCAGCAGAAATAGCATTCGCCTCCGCCCAAGCAGTATGATGCGTCACACCAGTCGCAAGCCCAATCCCAATCATATAAACCAGACTAAACGACGTCCAAAGCCCAAACAGTGTCAAACAGAAGATCTTCCTCTTGCGCGTGCTCTCAGGGTAGTAAACATAATAATCACTCGCCGCCGCCGCCCACGAGTTGGGCACATAAAGACACAGGCTCAAAAAGCTAAGCCTGTTCGCCGCAATGGCCGTCCCATCTCCCTGGGACTCAATCGTGGTGTCAAAATACGGTCCCGCACACCCGATAAGTGCGAAGAGGACCAATATCTGGGGTATCAACGCGAACCTGTTTTTCCATCAGCTGCTGTCTCCCGTTCCCATCTCCAAACAGGAACTTACCGTTCATAAAAATGAAAAACCCTCATCCCAAAAACCGCCACAACCCAACACACCAAAGCACTAACCACAATCCCAACCACAATCGTCAAACTCCCCCCGCTCACCGCAGATAACATCTGTCCCGCAATGATGTAACTCAAGGTGATATACCCCACCATCAAAACAATGTTCAACGTTGTCGGTATCTTGCTAGGCCAGTAACCCATGAAATACCTCGCGATAACCATTGTTCTGTTCCCGCTTGCCGGTCCCCAGATACTCATGTATGCGGTGGAACAACTCCCCAGAAAGGCTCCAACAATAGCGCACCATGCCGAGTCGGTGAAACCAAGCTGGAAGACTAATGGTCCGAGAAGGGCCACTGCGAGGTTGTTGACGGAGATGTTGGCCCCGAACCAGAGGAGGAATACCTGGGCGTCTGCGAGGTGGGAGGGAGGTTGCCGTTCGGAGGGGAGGACGCGGGTGATGCCGCGGGCTTCGAAGCCGGAGAGGGATTCGAGGGTGTTGTTGATCTTGATCAAAAAATGGGGAACCTTGAAAGGAGAAGCATTTTGGGGCTGTTGTTGTTGGGGGGTGTCAGTGGAGGAGATTGATTTGGTGGTGGGATCTGCTGGTGTTGTTGCGGTGGTGGCAGCAGCCTGCTGCTTCTCCAGATCGGGGGTTGTCATTCTGGCTTGGATGTCATCTAAGTTGGATGATGTTAAAAAAATGCTGGCACCACGCGCTGGCCTGATGAGACTTGGGAGACGCGACCTTATCACCCCTTACCCCAGCCTTATCCCAGCGGTGAGATACGCCACGTCAAAGGTAGGTGATACCAACCAACCGCTCCAACCCCAGCATCCAAAGATTGCAAGCCATCGCCATCACCCACCGAGCGGGGTATCTTCCCTGCATCTCGGCTCCATGTCGTTGGTTCTACTCCCTCCTTGTGATTGACCAACCGAACCGATGGCAACCTGCACCTGAACGTCTGTGTAACACTGTATCACACTTGTGTAACCACCACTACACTCCCACCGCGTTAGACCCCGGCATATCAGGTCTAGTAAGTCTTGGTAACCTGCTCTGAACGGCAACTGTTGGGGTTGTCAGCCGCAAAAGACGCCACAAAAGGTCGACTATTTGATGGGTTATGTCGAATAGAGAAGGGGGGTTACAGTGTTACCCCGCATGTGCTGCAGAGCTGATGTGACATGATGCTGCGGTTGGGGGTTTGTGCGACAGAGGGGGAGAGATGGGAATAGTGGCTCATTGCCGAGACGTTAGATTGAGTGTGGACATTTGTTGGAGAATTCCAACGCGAGAAAAATGGAACGACAGTCCTGACAGCCTGGCCCCCCCGACGACGTTCGTCTCACTACCTTTTTGCACTCAATTTTAAGCCGTGAGAAGAGAAATTTGAGAAAATGGCTACCTCAACCGACGCCCAGGAGTTCTCCTCCATCAAGTTCGACTACCTCATCATCGGCGGCGGCACAGCTGGTCTCGCCGTCGCCTCCCGCCTAGCCGAAATCCCCTCCCTCACCATCGGCGTCCTCGAAGCAGGGAAAAGCGGTTATGGCGACGACAACATTGACATCCCAGCCTACTCTGGCCGAGCACTGGGAGGACCCTACGACTGGCACTTCCAGACCACGCCCCAGCCCGGTCTCGGCGGACGAACTCTCCCATGGAACCGGGGGAAGGTCCTAGGCGGATCAAGTGCGCTGAATTATATGACTTGGAATCGTGGAAGCAAGGAGGATTATAATGCCTGGGAGGAGCTGGGGAATGATGGTTGGGGGTGGGATTCTCTCCTGTAAGCATCTTTCGGCTACGACAGACGTGAGTTGAGAACTGACGGGTGGACAGCCCTTACTTCAAAAGGTCAGAACGATTCCATCCGCCTCCGCCGAGCTTTAAGGACAACCACCAGGCCTCGTACAACGAGCCAAACAGCTTCCTGGGGGAAGATGGGCCCATCAATGTCTCATACACTCGAGACTTCTCGCCTTCACATGCTCTGTGGCATGCAACCTTCAACGAGGTGGGGGTCGAGTCAAATCCATCTCACCTGGACGGATCAAATGTGGGTGTGTGGACTACCATTGTGGCCGTCAACCCAGAGACTGCCACAAGATCATATGCGACTCATTACTGCTTGACGCCGCCTGCGAATCTGCATATCCTTACTGAGGCTCTCGTTGAGCAAGTCGTTCTGGATAAGAAGGACGGGGAATGGGCTGCTACTGGCGTGCGGTTCAGTCAATACGGAAAGCAATATGTCGCCTCAGCTGCTCGAGAGGTCATCCTGTCAGCAGGCAGCGTCCAGTCACCACAGCTTTTGGAGTTGTCCGGTGTTGGCCGGGCTGATGTTCTGGGTGCTGCGGGAATTCCGTTAAAAGTTGAGAGTCCAAACGTGGGTGAAAACCTGCAGGAGCATATCAGTAAGTCCTACTGTAACATTGAGTATGTCTGTCGCTGATCACCACCAGTGCTCCCAATGGTCTTCGAAGTAGACCCCAAGCTCCCCCACCCAGACGACCTGTTCATCGAAGAAGTCGCCGCCACCGCCTACGAGCAATACCAAAGAGAAAAGTCCGGTCGTTTGACCGTCCTCCCCTGCTCGATGGCATATCTTCCCGTTTCCAAGCTGGCACCCGAAGAAGATGTGGCTTCGCTCTCGTCCAGGTCCCAACAGCTGGAACGTTTTGGCGCCGAGCAAACGTCCATCCTCTCTAGCAGGTTCGACACCGACAAACAGCTCGGCCAAGTCGAATTCGTCTTTGATCTCGGCAACTGGAACCCGTCGTTTGCGCCTAAGGAAGAGGGCAAGAGATACTGCTCCATGCTGTTGGTGCTGCAGTATCCCTACTCGAGAGGGTCCATCCATATCGATCCTAAAGATGGACCAACCGCTGATGGGGTACCGGCCACCGCGCACCAACAGCCGGTGATAGATCCGCAGTATTATGTTGGTCCTCATGGGGAGCTCGACCTTGAGATTATGCTGCATGGTGCCAAGTTTGCGCAGAAGATTTGCTCGACTAAGCCATTGAAGAATGTCATCCCCGGTCCTGCTTCTCCTTCGTCGGCAGTGGTCTCTAATGAAGACCTGAGAGGATGGATCGTTGAGAATACCATCACAGACTGGCATCCGATAGGGACCTGTGCGATGGGCGGTCGTGCTGGGCAGGCAGGCGGTGTGGTTGATGAACGGCTCAGGGTGCACGGCGTGAAGGAGTTGAGAGTGATCGATGCAAGCGTGATGCCGCTGCATATCAGCGCGCATTTGCAGGCTACCGTTTATGCTATTGGTGAGAAGGGAGCCGACATGATTTTGGAAGATGCTGGACTTCGAAGTTAGTGGTCATTAGCCTGCGGAGTTTCAAACAAATCTCTCGGCCGGTAGAGTGAGTGTTGAGTGAGATTCTGCAAATAGCCACGAGATGGAGTCAAAAACGAGACAACTTGATAACCTTCCTAAAGGCAGGTCTCGGCTGCCAACTGGGTTCCGGGCCGACTGGAGGTCGAAGATGACTTGAACATCACTTGCAAATGCTGCTGCCCACACCGAATGTGACTCAAGATCGAAAGTTGACCCATTTTCGCAATGGTGTATGGAGTGATGGGGTGATGTGGTGTATGAGAGCAATTTGAATCAAAAGTAGAAGGTCAAGATCAAAGTCGCATGAAGGTGCGGAGAATATGGCCAGTTGCAGCCTAACTTGCAGGGCCGGTGACATCACACAAATCTGCATCCACTGAAAGGGTTCAGCGATCTCCATCCCGTCCATCTTCCGGGGCCCGAGCCGATCCGGCCGTGCCTCTCTCAGGCACCGAATTGGAAATGCCAGCAGCCCGCGCTGGGCCGCTGTTGGTAGCAAAACCCCCCTGTCTTTTCAGGGCCTGGAAGTCATCGCCCAGTGCCGCTGACGTGGGGTTGTTGAGATGCCGGCCGCCAGCGGTGTAGGGCTCCACAGCTGCACCCAGATCTGGGGTTTCATCTGACTCTTGGTTGCTGCCAGCTTCTCTTTGTTTTCCTCTCTTGCGAAAAGGTATAAACAAGCCCACTGCCTGCTGTTCTGTGACAGAAGAGATTTTGCATCAAATACCCTACTTCTTCTGACGTTTGTCTCGTTCTTTCCACGCCGACGCCCTCACGGTTTACTGTGTCAACGCCCACCCAACTTAGCTGGGGCGATTCTGCCACTTCCGTCATTCTGCCTTTTCGAGTACACACACCAGGGCCAAGATATGTCTCCAAGCGCCAAAGAGAACGGCTCGAATGGAGTGTCCGCAAACGGCCATGATGCTGTTCCAGGTAGGTTTCGACACCCAGAATTCCTTGCGCATGCCACTCCGATGCTTATCTTTGGACTGGACAGACGTGGCCGAAGTACAACTTCCCCAAGTCGAGGGCGAGTGGACCGTAGACAAAGTTCTCGATGCGCTTCCAGGCGACAAGCCTACCGAGGGTACAACCTCACCGCTAGCCTTCTTCCACATTCTCGAGAAGCTGAAGACGAACAAGCGCGAGGGGTGGCGGCGATTTGGAATCAACAGGTGGGTTGCTCCAAGCAGTGTTGACTCTGTGAGACCAGACTGACACATTTTGTTCCAGGGGCGAATCCATCTCCGACCACATGTACCGCATGTCCCTGATCAGCATGCTTGCCCCCCCAGCGCTGGCTAGCAAACTCGACATGGCGAAGTGCATGAAGATGTGCCTGATTCACGACATGGCCGAGTCGATTGTTGGCGACATCACACCCGTGGACGGAGTTCCAAAACAGGAGAAGAGCCGCCGGGAGGCCACAACTATGGACTACATCACCAAGGGCTTGCTGGGCAACGTGGACGGCGGGAAGGTGGGCGAGGAGATTCGCGCCATCTGGCAAGAATACGAAGACTCCAAGACACTGGAGAGCCACTATGTGCACGACATCGACAAGATGGAGCTTCTTTTGCAGATGGTAGAGTACGAGAAGCGCGGTGACCACAAGCTAGACCTGGGTGAATTTGCCTATGTTAAGACTAGGATCGTACTGCCCGAGATTCAGGCCTGGGCGGACGATCTCTTGAAGGAGTGGAATGCGTACTGGGTTGGACATGAGCACGTTAGGGGCGACAAAGCCGTCGAATCTTCCGGCGTCTCTGCTCAGAAGAAGGCTATGCAGGACAACTACTACAACAAGGAGTAGACGGCGAGGTCAGGGTTATGATGGCATGATTTTTGCTTTTTATGAACGGGCTTTCTGCGCGGAGCATTTGGGTTTTGTGTGGGACTTGCATGGCATGACGAGGCTATTCCTACCGCAAGGTTTAGAAGCAATAACTACAACTATTAGTTGCACCATTACAATAGGCAGCATATGATGTTAAGAGTCGGCGATATGGAGAAGACCCTGGATTTAAAGGTGGGGGCGGGTTCCAATAATGCACTGTACGTACAGATTCCCCAAATTTCAACCGCCTTCTCTGCATTGGTGTGTTGTTCCAAACCCCACCATTACTATTTTCAATGGTCCTTGTTTGCCACAGCAACCGTCGTGGTCGCGCTGTTGACCAGAACATGCCAATGACCGCTGACAACCTGATACTTATCCCAAACTATTATTCTTCGAAGAGTGGTGACAACCGTGACGTTGTAACCTCCCTTTGCCTCAGTCCCTCGGATCTTCAGCATTGCGCTTGGTCCCTGACCAAGAATTGTCAGAACGGCTTTAACACATACCCGGCGCTACGTCACCCCCTTTTGGTGCCGGGATACACCAGCTAGGCGGTGAATATTTGGCGCAGGCGCATTCCACTTCAACAAAAAACATTCGGCGACGGTGCTTTCCCACAATTGAAGGAGCAAAGATCCATCCATTCGTTTTCCAACTCTTGAGACGGCCAATGTTTATATGCCCCGACAGTTGACAAAAGCCCCGGCGTGGCCATTTGAACACAGAGGCTCCAGTGCGACAACAATCGCAAGATAGGGATCCAGGCTTGAGGTTGGCGGTGAAGCTGCCACTTGCACCGGGCGCTCACCAGTTCGCCAGCCCTTACATCTGGTTGGCTGTTCGTCAAGCTCCGCCAGCTCAACAACCCCACTCGCTGACAACTCAACCACGGGACCACGAGACTGTGAGGAAAGAGATTGTACAACCTTGAACACCGCGCGGAAAAGACAGCAGTTCAGACCGAAGAACGAGTAGTGATTACAGGCGGACCATGTGCGTCTGCTGAATGCACGCCATCCACTGCGACTGAGAGCCTGCGTATCAACAGTCTGCGACCATTCCACCCCATCAGCTTGTCGGATCATTGAACCATCAAGCCCTGCGCTGGAACAGTCGGGCGTCGACATCGCGATCGAGACACACTTCGGCACCGCCCAGCCGTTCCCCATGGCGTCGTACTCACCACAGTTCCATGTGCCTGGCACATTTCACTTCGATACGTCGCCGAAATCTGGCCAGACACTTAGCGCAGGCATGTTTCGACCTCCGGCCACATCACCGACCGCCTCGACCTACGGGAGCCTGTATTCTGATGTCTCAATGACGAACACACACGGCAACGGTGCCCTCGGCACAGGCACTGCCAAGCGAAAACGTGCCAGCACAAGGTCCTCAACACCGATGGGATGGAACATGGACATGGACGGTGCGCACGACATCAGAGAAGAGGAGAAGGGTCGTCAGTTTAGATATACTCTGGCAGGGCAAATCAATGCAACGCCGATGGGGGCTCCCATCGGGGTTGAGAATGGCCTGTTGGAGGACAGTGTCTACTCTGATGTTGACTACAGGAGAGCTTTAGGTCCCACCAAGGTTGCCCCAGACTTCGAGGTGCCATCAGCGCACCACGACGAAACCCCCAACGCACAACCGTCGACTTCGGCGGCATGGAGGATATTCACGCTGGGCACGTTGGGTGAGGTGGTAGGGAAGGTATGGGAGTTCTGCACAAAGGGCGCATTCAGGGGCTTCCAGGCGGGCGGAGGGACAGCGTACACGGCGAATGGAACGACGATCCCCGAGACTACAGGAAAGCCGTGGGTTAACCAGCACGACGAACCTACTCCTGCGAGCGAAGAGAACATGACCGACCAAATGATACAGGATGGATACCCCCGGCCAGAAAACGACCAGGAGAAAGCCGGTTCCCACGAGCCGTTTTCCCCATACCAGGATGCAGTTTCCTACATCGAATCACCGGATTCTACTCCACAACCACCAGCCGCCAAACGGAGGCAAGTTAGCTACAACAACGACGAACTCAAGAATTGGGTAATGGTGGACGGTCCGGCTAACACAAACCAAAGGCGATTTGGCTCCGATGCCAGGGCGGTCCCAGTGAGAACACCGGCCTCTATAGTGCGACATTCCCCTCGGCCTGGATACTACTCCTCCACAGCCGTGAGCTCCGGCCGACGTATCAGCGTCCCATCCTCCAGGTTCACAGGAACACCGACCCGGGCTGCCGCAGTTCGGCCTTCCCTGCGGACCTCCCACGCAGGTTCCCCTCTCGTCCCACCCCGCGAACCAGCAAGCTTTGCCTCTCCCCGCCAGGCTCCCGTTGCCCCCTCTACCCCTAGCCGCATTCCGATGCCGGTACAGCCTGCAACGAAGAACCCATTCGCCGCCCTCGCCTCTCCAAGCCAATTACCAATACCTACCTCTGCCTCACGCCCGTCCAGTCGACAAAGTCCACGGCTGAGTGTTGGAAGTGGGGTCTCCTCGCGACCCATATCGCCGACAAAAACCACAGCCAGCACCATTCACCGGCGCAATCAGAGTGGCGCGTCTGCCACGGCTCGAAGGCACTCACTATTAGCTGCGAGCGTTGACCCGGAGGAGATCAAGGCCAGCCAAAGGTTAGATGCCGAGGCCAAGGCGCTTGCAGCGAGGAAGCTGGCCGCGGAGAGGGACGCTGACATGAAAGTGGATGCTTTCAACGCAAGGTTAATGGCGATGATCAGACAAGGGAAAGAGGCGTTAGGGACGAAGGTGGAGGTAGAAATGACGGATGAAGATGATTTAGGTGGTGGGGGATGGGAGGACGAGGACGTCTTTTGAAGAGGAAGCCATGGGTTGGATCTTCGGTGACTTGCTGGTTTGTTTGTTTTTATACCCCCTTGTGCTTTTTGTCTCCAGACCTCGATTCGCATTCCTAGCATGCAGTGCGCGGCTTACCTATTCTACATCTGTCCATAATCTTGGTTTGTAGCCGGCATGATGGGCGCGGAGTTTGAGGGATTGTTTTGAGTATACCTTTGGTGTTGGAATAGGAATGGGGTTGGATATGGTTCTGTTGTGTTTGGGCTGATAGGCATATATGACCATGACGAGACAATGCATGATGTGGATGACATTTCCGATTGTTTAAGGCAGTTTACTACAAGAATACTTAGTCTCCAAAACACACAAATATCTTGTAGTCGCATCCTTATGGTTGTTAGCTTTGGGCCGAGCTCATCCTTATCCCCGCGGCCCGCGCCAAGGCCCGCCAGGTGGTGGGGCCCCAATCACCTGCCAAGCCAGGCA